GAAAAAAAAAAGATATTTCAAATAAACAACCCCTCACGCCAAAAGGTAAATAAATAAAATAAGAATAACTATCACATTTGATTTTTAGATTTTCAGTCGTTATAATTAAAAGTTTTGGAAACAAAAATAGAATGTTTTCGAAATATTAACTTGCATTGCAATACACCGAAAATGTGAACAATTATCTGTTTTTCTTAGTGTGTCATATTTCTGGTTAAGCAAAACTATAGCTATAACATATATAAGCTATAACATAAGCTATAACATTATATATAAGCTATATAAGCTATAACATTAAATATAAGCTATATAAGCTAAGCTATATAAGCTATAAGCTATATAGGCTATATAAGCTATATAAACTATAAGCTATATAAGCTATATAAGCTATATAAGCTAAGCTATATAAGCTATAACATTAAATCAACCCCTTGACCAATCCTTGTGGCTTAAAAGTTTATTTACTTTAAATTTATTTATTTTTTTTTTCAGCATGAGCACTCGTTGCTTGGATGATTAAATAAAAAAAATATATAAAATGTCACAAATAAATAATTGCAGGCAAAATACAGTCAATATAGCAACATTTCTACTATGTAACAAGTATCTGTGTTTATGTCGTATTTTAAATCTAGACTTTAATAAACATTCGTATAATTATTTTTTCTTGCAAACAAAAAAAAATCATGTTAAATGGAATAAACTTTACACAGTTAACAATACAGTTTTGTTGTTGAAATTGACATTATATATTTTTTAATGCCACTAAACAGGAGGTTTCGATGAGAGTATTATGTGGTATAGCTACAACATAATTCAAGAAGATCGATCAACTAGAACTAGAATCATCTTTTTCATGATTATTTTTCTAAAAGATTTTGATCATATTATAATTTAAAATTAGATAAATACATACTTACCCCAAACAGATTTTACTAGAAGCGTACCAACCGACAATCGAGACACCCATGAGAAACTTGAATAATACATTTTAACATGACAGAACATGCTACTTTAAGACAATTTATTATTTTCATCTAGGTATTGAGAATAAATACATTTTGTGTATTTACAAAAGTGTACAAGTTTGTGAATCACCCTATATACATGGTGGTCCCGAGGTAATGGGCCAAAATTCATGGGTAAATTCCCCAAGCAAATATATTGCGATTTAGCCGAACTTACCTTAGTCCAAAAGTTGATAGTTAAAGAGATACAGGATGTTAAATGTAAAATATTATTATTAATTTTTTTCATTTATTCCGTAACAAATGCAAATATCCAAATAAAATTTTGGGGTTTGGGATTCTTTAGGTAGATGAATTGAATCATAGAGGGCGCTAGCTGCAATAGATAATATTTATTCAATCACTTCTTACAAATGACAAATGAAGAAACATATAAGTCAGATAACACATGACAAGTACACTAGAAGGACAAAATAAATGTAGAGAAGGTGTGGTTTATAATTATTTATCAAATTATGAACAGAGCGTAATAGCAATTTTATTTGGTATATAAACTAAAATAAATTAAATATTTCTTTAACTATCAACTTTTGGACTAAGGTAAGTTCAGCTAAATCGCAATATTTTTACTTCGGGAATCTACCTATAAATTTTGGTTCATTAGCTCGGGACCACCCTGTATATTTCAAAACATCCCTTAAAGGGCTTATTTTTATTTATTTATTTATTTATTTATTTACTATATCCAACAGGCCTAATTACAGAATAAGGATAGCAAACTATAATATTAAAAAGAGAAAACAAAATCCAGCTAAAAAACACAAAAACAAACAAATATATAACAAGAGAAATGGCTATAAATTGCAAACATTGTTAATACATATAATAAAGTCATATAAATAAAATAAAACGAGGTCAAATCTACTTATATAAACTTAAAGAAGGTACATTATATAAACTCTTTATCTGAGTTATAGATGAACAAAATATATCTAACCGTGATTTATTTTTGGAAATAAGAGTGTCAAAATTTAAAAAAGAGCGTGCATCATTAGAATCAGTAGAATATGCAGAAAACAAATCGGATATAAATTATAAATTTCTCTAAACGTATCCTATTTACAGTTGATCTATACCAAAAGAATAAAAGCTTTTTTAAAAAGTCGAGAAATAAATGCGCTTAAAATTAAATTCCCTTTTCAAAAATAACAAAAACACCGTTTTTACAGTGGGTAATTTTTTAGGAAAATGTGAACAGCATACCTTATAACTACGCCACTGGCTTGTTTCAGTACCTTTTTGTTTCACTTTCAATACCATTTTATTCATGTATTGTGCACACAAAATTTCATTTCAATATCCAGTTGTTCAGGACATATTTAGAAATACAAAATTTCTTTTTCAATACGAACTATTCTTAAATTTGGAAAGGGAAGCTGATCCTTTTTTTTGACACGTTATATTGTTACATCCTCCATGTAGGTATACCTTCATTTTGAAACCACTTATCTGTTTCAAAAAATCCTTACTTATGTCTGTGTTAAATTAAATTGAGAGATTAGTATGTTGAATCCAGATTTATTTGCCCATTATAAGATATTTCTTTTTATAATTTATCTACATGTTTATCTTCAAAGACATGATCAAACACTTTCCTTTTAACGTTTAGTTAAATTAAATTTAAACCTTCATAAGTTATTTCTGATTAAATATTTGTTTAACATAAAATATAATCTCATGAAAAATTGCATTAAATAAAAAATATCATGTCCTTGCATACATCCAGTCAAATATTAAGAAGGTATCTATCAATTTGGTAATTAAATTGTTAATATGTATGATTTAAAAAGAGAATATCGAATTACTGGTATTTTTGGAAATATTTGCATATTAAGGGTAAATGTTGTTTCAATTTACTTCTATTTTCTAACTTAGGTTTAAAAATAGTGAATATAACACTAAACATACTCTATTACTGGATAATTATTACCTACATGCCACAGCATAGTAAAAAATTAGGGTTGCCAACAATATCGATTTAAGCTGAAGACATCGGCCTTCCGATTTCAAATAAAATTATTCCTCTTCAGTAAAAATTATAGTCATGGACAAAAAGTGTGTATAATTTCGTTTCACGACAAAAATATAAGAATGGACGTTTTTGAATTATTATGCTCAGATTGACAATTAAAAATATACCTATGGCTATTAAAAACTTCAGAATAAAAATCATTAATAATAAGTGCACAGTGATCAAATTTAGATAATAGGAATATATTTTCCAACTTTTCCAAGTAGTAGTAATTTTGAATTCAAGTTCTAAATACATGTTTATGTTATAATGAAAATACGATTATTTATAGGTAGAGTTTTATGTATGAAAGTATATTATATGATGTTACTAATTTGTTTCATAGTTCTCGTTTTTTTTCTTTATTTATTAGGTACTTCACCACCTGTGAAAAATAATAATCGCAAAAGAGACCGTAATTGCTTGAATTATTACTTCAAAAATAATTTAATACCTATTATGACACTTATATTCATAATTTCCAATACACAGTACGATATATTACTACCTATCCTAGCGGTGCGCAACATGAACTCATTTTTGTAAAGCTTTGGTGTTTAATATTGGAAGACAAAAAATTGCGAACGAGACGAAGAGGAACGAAGAAAGCGAGAGAAGTCCAACTCCTGAAACTAAGCTGCTCCTGTATACCTGGTGTCCCTAAATTAATGCAACAAAATTTGGTCACAGATTGTTAAAACAAATTTAGGGAACCCATATAGTTAAAGCTCTCTGAAATTCGCCGGATCACATTTTGCTATTTTTCTCGAAAACATTTTCGAAAAAAGGTACTACGGGACAAAAAAGATTCTAAATTCAATAGCTTTCTAGCGATTTTTAAGAAATTCAAATATGCGACCTAATTTTTTTTTACTGCAAAGACAAGGGGGCCCACGAAAAAGCGTTCCCCACCAAAAAGCGGGGCAGATTCCACATGTCATAAAACCCCTGTGTAGCAAATTTAGTGATTCTCGTACAACAGGGTTCTGAGATATACAAACAACAATATATTCTTAGGAGGGGCCACTCGGCAAAAATAAAAAATACGGGTCCCCGAAATTTGTCTTAAGAATCTGCGACTAAATTTTGTTGCATTAATTTCGGGACACCCGGTATAAAAAACTGTGGTATGTTCATACATCTCTTAATAATCAGAAACTAGAGCTACACATCAAATTTGAATGAAATCACTTCATCTGTTCATCGCAAATTATCTTTAACACCCTACATCTCGAAATGACGACATGTTTATTGAACTTTCATTGCTAATTTATAATATAAAATTCTCCTTTAAGTTTGGCCAAGTATTTAAGTTACACCCTGTATTTCAACCTCTCGACTTTGCTTCGCGCGAAATTATTTGAAATAATTTCCTCAGGTAAGTATCGACTCGTTAGCAGCCCTACAAAGATAGATAATTACCAAATTGATCCAACAAAGCGTCCATAAAAAAAACGTTAAATAAGATGACTCCCTTGAAAGCCCGATTTAAAAAAACGGCCCAACAATAGCAAATCCGGCAATACACATCCACAACGAAATAATATAGTATCGCACTCAAAGACCAAACAATGGCACATCGAGAGAAACTAGAGCGTTTGTAGGACCCTCTCCTTCGGCCTACCCATTATAATACCCGTAATATATTTACTATTGAATTCTAGTTTGTATTCCTATTCTGCACCCCATTATAACAGGCGGCACATAATACACTAAATATCCATATGCGGGGTGGTGGGCGGACGTGCCCGTGACGTCACCGACGGGGGGCGGGGCCGGGCGAACGCCGCTCCCCGATTGGCCCATGTATCTCTCTGGCCCAGCCAACTGTTGGGGTACAGTAACTACCACCGGATACGGTATCGCGAGACAGTAACTGTCAACCTCGCGCCGCCGGACGTGCTGTACGGATTTTGACGTGTCGGTGCCTGTTTGCCCCTGTGAGAGATGCACTAGTCGCGATGAGTCTACCCGGTAGTGGCGTGGACATGTCGGCGCTGATGTCGCAGCACCCCGTGTTGGGCGCCATCCCTCCGGCCTTCTTCCTCAGGGCGTCGGAAAGGTACCAGCGGACGCCGAAGTGTGCGAGATGCCGCAACCACGGCGTGGTGTCGGCCCTGAAAGGACACAAGAGATACTGCAGGTAAGGCCCAAAATTTTCTCTAAATTTCCTTCGGCTTCTAGAGATCATAAATACACAGTAGCGTTGACTTAAGAAACTATTTTATTAGTCCAGGTCTCAGTCTCATCCTGATGATGCTAACTTGAACGCTGAAACGTGCGTCATATATTACTTTGATGTAGCTATACTGCAAATGCCCAACATAACTTAAATTCGTACTTATATTCTAAGAGAAGACAGTTCTATTAAATAATATTAAATTTTGATGATTAGCTGATTTATTGTTTAATTCCATAACACGTCAAAATTATTGTAGAGTGCCACAAGAACATTTCGTAAGCCTGTTATGATTTTAAATGACCGATATCACTAAAATCTCTGGTGTACCACAAGAAAGGTACCTCGGCCCTCTATAGTTTTGCGTTGCTCATTAACGTATGTAATGTATTCCTATTTTTTCACCAAAAACATAAAATTTTTATTTAAACTAATTCTTCAATATAACTCTTGATAACAATTGTAGAGTGCTACAAGGATATATTCTGAGCCTCAGAGTTATCGGCTCTGATAAACCACAAGAGGTACTGCAAGTAACATCCACATTTTTTCTGTAGATATCCATTGTCTTTGTATTGAGTTTTCACCTATCAAATTACAAAGAATTCTTCTACAGAACACTAGGACTACTATTGCCTTGTGGGATATTTTAACTCCAGGTTTAATCACATCTTAAATCATAACTGAACTTCTACGTTGAAATGTGGATGTAACTTTATTCCGCAATTATAAGTTACTCGTATTCCAAGTGAAAACAAAGTTTCATACAGAAATGTGAAATTTTAGTAATACTCTGACTTATTCTCAAATTTCATGTCTCTCAAACAATGAATTGTAAAGCGCCATAAGGACATTTTCTATCATACTATTGTTTTAAACTAATTATTCCACAATGAAATCTGGAGTGCCACAAGGAAAGCGCCTAAGCCCCTTAGTGTTTTTCATTGCCCATTAATGAACCCACTAATGTTTCTTGATACGGCAATGCGCTAAAAATTAGTTATTTCAAACTAATATTCCAAATGAAGATATTTTACTTAAAAAAAATGTGATATTTTAACTATAAATTAATTCTGTAACTCAAGAAAATAATAATCGAGTGCTACATACAAATTTTATTGTGTTTTAGTCCAGTCTGGTGTAGTTTTAAAGAAGTGATTCTACTAGGAATTCCAGAATGACACAATGACGGTACCGAAGTCACTTATTGATTTCATTATACAGTAATAATCTCATTAAACGTCTTAAACTTGCTATTGCCATATATTTAGTACATATTACGTCAAAACCTGAAGAATTCTCTTAACATTGACTTGCGAGACTGATTACCAACCCAGATTTAATCGCATCTCGATGATGCTAATATGAACGTTGAAATACGCATAGTGCAATGTTTTAAGGAAGCAATACTGCAAAGGCTCAACTGAACGTTATTTTATACTTACATTCCAAACAGACACTTGTATTTAAAATTATGGTAAAAATTTATATATTTTTCTATTGCAACTCGTGAAAACATTTGGTGCCACATGGACGTTTTCCAAGCTCACTATGGTTTTAAATTAGTGATTCTACTAAGATCTCTGGAGTACCACAAGAAAGATACCTAAGCCCTTATTGCTTCGTGTTGTTCATTAATGATATCACCAAATATGTTTGTACACATTTAATCTTTTTCCTAGGTGCGTTTGAGATCCTTTTTATTGTAATTAATTTATTCATTATTGATCTCATTAAACATGTTATACATTCCTGACCATTGCAACAGTGCGTCTTCCATTCAATTTAAGTGGTCCAAGTTTAATCACATCTTAATGATGAACGTGAACGTAAATATCTTTTTTTAAGTAGACAAGTAGTACTTATTTCGTACTTATCATAAATAAATAGATATTTTGCATCAAAATGTAAAATTTTGGTAAACAAATACTTCAATATCAAACTCCTGACAATAATTGTAGGGTGTTAGAAAGTCTTATAGTGAGATGCGGTTTTAAAGTTTCCGTTAATAACACTGGGGTGCTGCAAGGATAGTGCCTAGTACCTTATTGTTTTATTCATACATTAATAATTTCACTGAACTTATGTAAACTTACTATTTTGATGAAGTATAATAGGTATGTCAAAAGCCAAACCTATTTTTATTTCGAAGTACTACTCCAAATGCAAATATACTCTACTTCAGGGAATGTGACATTTTGATGATAAATTACCTATAATTATAATAATAGAAAAGAATAATAGAAATAAAAGAATTATAATTCTCCTATTTAATAATTTATAAAAACAATTGTGGTGTGCTCCAAAAATATTTTTGAGTCTCGTAAGGTTTTAAATTAAATTATTCTAATAAGAACTATGGCGTGCCACAAGGAAGTTGCTCACGTCCATTATTACTTTCATCATGCATTTGACGATATCGTTAAACTTATACCAAAATATAACAATAGTTCAAGAACTATTGTTCCAAATAAAGATATATTTTACCCAAAATGTGATATTTTGATAATAAACTACTTATATAGTGCCACAAGAATATTTTGAGATTGATAGAGTTTTAAAGGAATGATTCTACTAAGAATACAATGAATACTAAGGTGCAATGAGGAGAGTGCCTAACCCCTCTTGTTGAACGTATCATACATTTTTAAGCTCTGTTACAAGAACTTTAACAGTCTATCGTTAGAAAAGTTTAAATTAAACACACATATTTTAGATGGGTACTAATAACATTTTAATAAAGTATAACAAAAACTTGAAGAAATAATTATTAGAATTGCAAATATACGGTAATGAACAAAACACATAAACGCAATGCCTCAAGGAGCTTACCTGAACCCCCTATTATTTTAATAAAGTTTAAATGATCTGACCAACATCTGCAAAATGAAATGCAAAAATAAAACAAACTTTAATCAAATTTTCTTCAAAATCTACTACATCATCAAAATTAAATACCATGGTATTGTCAGCAACTGAAAAAAAATTGATTTTTTCAGGTGGCGCGACTGCAACTGCGCCAAATGCACTCTGATAGCGGAACGGCAGCGCGTGATGGCCGCACAGGTGGCCCTGCGACGACAGCAGGCGCAGGAAGAAAACGAGGCCCGTGAACTGGGCATCTTGTTTCCAGCCCCAGGACCACAGCCCGTGGCCGACTCCGCCGTCCCTCAGCCCCCAGTTTCCACGGCCGCCTCCGAGATGGGCATCGCGCCGCTCATGCAACGGACGGCGTTCACAACTTCAGCGTCGGACTCCTCTGAGACCTCTAGTCCAAGTAAGTTGTCATTTTTTATATTTGGTATTGCCACACTCCAAATTTTGCTCCAAAGTTGTGTTTTATTAAATATAACGAGCGTTCAAATAAAAACGTGGTCGAAGTTGGCTCTGACACATTGGACGTAGGGAGTAGCTTATAGCGACCAACTTAACCTCATTTCTCAACGAGCTGTATAGCAGCTGTCAGTTTCAATAACGTTAATGACTATATAACTTTATTTTATAGAATAATCGTGATAACAATAACAAACAATTAAAGGAGCAGCGGAAAGTGTCCCCCTCCTTGTTCCAAGCACTTTTCACACCTGTTAGTTCCTCAAAGAATTAAAGACATTTTCTAAGATGCACGGGGTATTGTTAATTTCACGAATCTTGTCTATAAGTCGAGCCTGCAGATGGTTTAAATCAGGAATAGGCAGTTCAGAAATAGTGTTTTTAAGGTAAGACCACAAAAAGAAATCACACGGCGTAATATCACAGACCTCGGTGAAAATTCATGTTCAGCATTGAGACTTATTAGTCGATTTTGGAAAACTTCCCTCAACATATTCATCGTCTCGCCTGCCGTATGTGCCCTTGCGCCATCTTGTTGAAAGTAAAAGTTTGTAATTTCGTTTTCTTCCAGCTGGTTAACAAAAGGAGCGATAATTTCTTCTCTATACCTTTGCGCAGAAAGCGTACCATTAAAAAAAATAGGTCCATAAATCCTCCTTCGATTGAAAGCACACCAAACTCCAATTTTTTGAGCGTGTAGAGGGCCCTCGACAAAAAAGTTATCTGGTTTTTCAGAAGACCACATTCTCATATTCTGTGAGTTTACGTAACCACTTAAATGAAACCAGGCTTCATCAGAAAAAAAGGTGATATTATGAAGTTCACCGTAGTTGTTTAAAAACCATTCACAAAATACAGCCCGTCGCGGAAAATCAACTTCATGAAGTTCTTGCTGACAAGTTAAATGATAGGAGAACAAACGCAAATGTTTTTTTAACACTGTGTGGCAGGTACCGACTGATACTCCCACTATTTGTGATAAAACACGTACAGAAGTTTCTATTATTTGTTGGACATTTTCTTTTAATTCTTCAGTCCGCTTTTTAGGTCGGCCGCTTCCTTCTTTTCTTGTTACACTGCCCGTTTCACGCAAAACATTAACACAACGCTGAACTGCACTTTGAAAAATTTTGTACTCAACAACGCCGGGAAATTGATTTTGAAATTCTATGAAACATTCCTCAATAGAATATTTCCATATTCCATCAATCTTACGTCCATTTCTAAAGTAGGACTCTATGATAAACACTTTTTGTTCTTGAGAAAACACCATTTTAAACGCTTTTTAAAACGAAAATATTCAAATTGATAGCGCTTTGACAGATGACGTTTAAGTTCATTTGCTATACGCTACGCCCTACGTCCAAATTTTCAGAACCAACTTGACCACGTTTTTATTTGAACGCTCGTTATTAAGTGCCCCTATGCAAAATTGCGACTGCTGTCAATTGAAACAAATCAATTAGATGTTTGGAAAGAAAATGCGGAATGTCAAATATCGCTAAGACAAAGACTCTGGGAAACAATACATTCAAATCGAAGCTGGTTACAATGAATCAGAAGCTTATATTCTTCAATACAGGATTTTGCAAAAACCTGTTTAGTAAACCTTTGAATATAATAAAACTTCAATAAAAACGTAATCCTCAAAGTGCCTCTTCTATTTATAATATTAATAGAAATGATTTCCCGAATGTGGATTCTTGGTTATAATCAAGTCTCCTATGCATATAAGTACTCAGGAGCTTCATGAGATTTTCTTGTGTTGAAATTTTTTGACATATAGAAAATTATAAGCTACTGAACAGTCTACAGTCATTGAATTAGCTGATTTACAGGTCAATAACTTCAGTGGGTTCTTGTTGACTTTGCTGTTAATTCCTTCTAACCATTTCATATTTAATTTATTCAGTTTTACTTTTCCTCTAACTTAATCAAAGAGGAAATTATAGCAGTCTTTCCTTTGCATCTTAAAGAAAGCCTTTAAAGACTGCACACTTTTTAAACTAAAAAGGATGAAGATGCAGAACTTTTGTTAAAATCCGCTGCATTGTGCTTTTTTGAAATTGTTTAATAGCAGTGACCGACGGCGCACTGAGGATACGAGAATTTCCGTCATACTATCACTCACTGTAGCTGAACAGTCAGTACGAGACCGGCCTGTTTTTTATTGTCTGCAACCGAACCTGTTTGTTCAAATTTAATTCCACTTAATTTGCGCACAGTCTCAGCTACACACTCTTCGTTCTTGTAATGAATTTTGAGAATCTTCTCGCTCTACATTCTATATATACAGACCAAAAAATATAACCACAGTAACATTTTGAATGGATTTTCCGACCCTGAGCAACAAGCTAGAGTCTACCGTAGAGTTTTTGGGACAGTATTATATCGTCATAGTCTTATTTAAGTACATTTTAGCCTAATTCTATTGTCTCCACTTCAGTCTAAACCCCTGGAAACAAATTGTTGACTGGACTGAAACAATTAAATTGTGGAATTGGAGATAATCAAAAGCCTTGAGGATTTCCTCTGTTGATATTTTTTTTAACCTTATTTTGATTCTAGCTGTGTTATCTCTTTTAAATAGCATTTAACCCAATTGTTGGAAGGAAACCGAAAACCCGTCTCATGTTAAAGAATAAGTTCAATATAGTTTCTTTGTTATTTAACATATGTACAGGACACTATCGAGATTCGTACGAGTTGAGTAGTTTACTCGAATACTATTTTGACTTAGCGTCAGAATTCCATATTTCTCCAAAAATGAGCTCAATCTTGCATTAAAGTAATTCAAACATAAAAGACATTGCAATGCTACCGGCCTACAGTTTTCAATATTTTTTGTGTTTCTTCTATTTTTTAATATTGGAATGGCCTTATAGACAAGATTCTGATCAGGATTCAAGAATCAGTGTAAATACCCTGTAAAAGACTTATAATTTAAATTCGATAAATTAACTCCCATATAAAAATGTGTACTTGTCATTTTGACAGCGATAAAAAGGTGCGTAACTTTTTATCACTGATAAACTCCTGTTCCTCTAAATTAAACTATACTTAGTAGGGGCACGTCAGTTTAAAATGTTTCCTGTCATTACAATTATTAAGTATTGGTGAAAGTATAAGTATAAAATATACATAATATGAGTCGTTTTGGAAAACGACTGAACAAATTGGGAAAAACAGAAAAATCAATTCCACGATCCATAAAAAACACTAAATCGTCGATATGGAGACAATTTATGGAGCTTTGACAAATTCGAAATTACGGACTGTCAGAAATAACTCCATTAGAAAATATAGCGGATATGTTAAAGGATTGGACATATAATAGGAAAAGAAAACTGGGGAAGATTACAAAGAATATGCAGTTAAAATAAACTGGAATTCAACTGCAAAGATGATTCAAGAAATATATTTCATTGAATATAACATTAAATTTGATTCTTTTGCCGATACAACTTTTAAAGAAGCTCGTGATGCAAGAAACAGTAAGAGAAAGGAATTACAAGCTATTTCAGGGAACAGAAAGGTATGTTCTGCAGTAATCGACAAGGAAACTCTACTAAGAATGGTAAAATTGTGGAATATAAATGAACCAGAGGGATTACAAGAAGGATCTTTCATATAGCTTCTGATGAATTGGCTTGGAGGGGAGGAAAGGCTACAAACTGTAAAATTAAACATTTTAAAAGTGAAAAGAAATCAAGATGGAACCCCAACAGGAAGAATCGAATATATTCCAATATTTTCAAAGACGGCACAAAACGGATCGAAAAAATTGACAAACAGCAATTAGATAATAAAAAATAAGAACAATAAAAGTATTTGTCTCGTTACAATGTTAAAATTACTCTTGGAAAAGAGAAACGAAAACATAACATCCCATCGACTCCAAATCCCTTTTGGACAAACACAAATTCTAAAGGTTGGTAAAAAAATGTTCCACTAGGAATAATGCATGGACAAAAGGATCAACGGCTAAAATTAGACTGGACATCACAAATAATAAAATTACCAACCATTCAAACCGTGCCAGAATAGTTTCTCACTTCCAAAGCAGTGATAAGTGACCAACAACTGATAAAGATAACTGGACATTCATCGTCGTCGTCCATTAAACCTTACCTTCAAATTGACGCTGAATATCACGAAACTCTTATTAGTACCTTACGAACCTCGGATAGAAGCCAAAAGGAATATTCAACACGTACGGAAACTATAGACAAGAAAATATAGAAATCAGTTCACCAAACCAAACAATTTATAATAACTGTGTATTTAATAAATGTTCCTTCAAATAATTTGAATAAATAAATATAACGGTTATTTTTCGTTCACATAGAATAAATAAAGATATATTTATTTTTTTTGTTTATTCACATATTTAATCGTTAATTTTTCTTGCCAAAAACAACGCGAGCTTTTCATTTCATGGATAAATTTCTTCTTAACTCAAAATTTTGCTCGAAAAAATGGCAGACAAAATCGTTCGACCTTCGGTCTCGCGTTCTTTTCATGTCAGTTTTCCTCGTAAAATTACTGATTAGCAAAATTATTTAGTTATAAAGAGAAATTTATCCGATAAAAAAGCTCTTATTATTTTACTGCTGATAAAACTTGTGACAATTCTGTTTTTACTGATAACATAATCGTTCCAGGTATATCGTCGATTCCCGCAGACTTTTTGCTACATACTTTGGTCATTTACTTTTTCTACCTCGTATGGACCTGTTAGAATCCACGAACCTTAAGAACTGACTCATTTCGAATTAATTAACCAACAAATCAATTCTTTTTTTTCCTGCATACACCGTGAGCCCATTAACTCTATCCATCTGACCGTGCCCTAATGCGACCGGCCGGAATAACAATAACCGCCACCGCGAGTTCGAGGAGTTCACCAGAGTTTCGCCCCATTGTGGTCCACGCGCCCCGCTC